AGAGAGAGAGAGAGAGAGAGAGAGAGAGAGAGAGAGAGAGAGAGAATCCTGCTGGATGATCAGAAATTCACTCCTGACTCTGTGTAACTTTACTGGATCAGGGTTTAGCAGAGACTTTTACAGAAATCTGTTCAGCTGGAAAGCAAGAGTTTGAGTGCTTCCAGCGGAAACTTTTTTCACACGGAGACCGTCACCGTGAGCTGGGTTTTGCCCATTCGCCACAGATGACCTTTCCTCAGAGGTGAAGGGGGCGCTGGAAAGAGGGTTAAGGTGTCACTCTGTTGGCTGAGGGACTCTGGGTGCAGTGCTCGTTTAGAAAAAAAAGAAAAGGAAAGACGTTAGCGCTAATGTAAGCTGCTCCGAGCGAGAGGGGCGAGGTTTGATACATCCATTTCGAAATTACCRTGGTGCATCTAGGCAGTGTGCCCAGTCCCTGGGCTTTTTAGGCCTGGCTGAAATGAAAAACTGTGCCAAAATGATGACTGGAAGCTAGCGATGCACCGAGGTGGAGGTAGAAAGATGGGGCCACACTTTAGAGCCCTGTCTAGTGCTTTTAAATCCCCCTAACATGGAGATTCATGCCAAGTGTGGCAGGATATCGCACCATCTCTGTCCCTGGTAATGGCCTCTCGTAGCACACCTCCTCCCCACATAACAGCACATGTAAAACACAGAGAAGGAGCACAACACCCACAGCAGGATCACCATTTGAGATGATAGATAATGGCGCTGTCCTTGACAAACTACTGAGGCCTTTTTCAGAACATCTGAAGTGGAGTTTCATGTTTAGTTAATATCTTACCTGCTGTAGATAGCTGACCTCGACAAAAATAGGAGGATAACGCTGACTGGTCTGCTAAGCTAACAGCTAACACAGCAGTTTAAGCTAATACTATGATTGCACACTGATGTCTGTCTTTCTTCACTGTTTTTCCACGGAAAAATAATATTCCTGCTGAAAGTGCCCCCAAACTACACCAGAAGCACCACCAAGAAGGATTACAGAGGTCTACAGAGTTCTATATGTCAGTGTTTCCCAAAGTTTGGGTCGGGACCCAAAGTGGGGTCCCAAAACTTCAAGGTGGGGTCCTGAAAAATATTTTCTGAATTAATTACATTTTTGCCTTAGTTGTTACAAAGGAGTGAGGGTAGTGTATATTTAAAATGGATAAATGTAGTATAAAAAATACTGTTTCTATGCCCGTGTTTTGTTGACCTGAACCAAATGTTTATCATACAAAAACAGTTGGGGGCACAGGTCTCTGCTAGTGTTATTTTGTGGGTCAAAAGCTGAACAGTTTGGGAACCACTGCACTTTGGTTCCCAAAGTTGGGCTTGGGACCCAATTATGGGTCATGAAGCACCTTGGATAATCTCCAGAAATCAATTTAAAGGGTAATAAAATAATTGCTGATGTAATATTTTTTCTGTAATTATTACAAAAACACAAAATAAGTAAAAATAAGTGTTTATATATGTGTACAAGCTGTTTAGATTGTCAAAAAGCCTGTGTTTTTAGGGTTATTAACAGAATTCGTGTACTCAGACCAGTAATATTTGGGGTCACAAGTTTTTGCCATGGATATTTTGTGGGTCAGAAGACAAAAAGTTTGGGAACCACTGCTATATGTGACCCATCTCAGACTAAATGTTTTAGCTGCTTTTTAATCTGGTCTTTTCAAAATTCATATTCTCTAAACTGGTGTCCTTTACTATGATAGAGTATTAGGGTCAGACTATTTGAAAATTTCTTAGTACATTACAAGAATTAAGTAATTACGGGAATAAGGTCATAGTATAGAATAAAGTCAATATTATCAGAATAAAGTCATATTATTATGAGAACTCCTACAGGTTTTATCACTGTGTTATAATGAGGAGTTCTGAGTATCTTGTGATGTTATACTTTGGTGTCGGTTTTACAAATATTTCATCTTTCAACACATCCACATCAAATTATTATTATTACCAGCGATAGGACATTAAAATGACTGTGCAAATGACGATGTGTATTTTAAAGAGTTTATTTTTGTATTATTTTTCCTTTAATCTGGTATTATTATGACTATATTCTACAATTTTATTTTCATCATTTCAAAATTTTAGTGTGGCCCTAATACTCTGTCATTCTTTGAAGAGGCAAAATAATTATTCATTATCACCTTTCTTCTTGTGTGAAAACGTTTATAAAACAGCAGTTGTACAAAATGCTATAACTTTTTTTCAAAAGAAAGTTAATTTAAGAAAACAGCAATCCACTTTAATCTTCACCTTTGTCCTGTTAGAATTCAACTCTGCTTCTCAGAATGAGGCCACAGGTAAGATATTAACTGTGCACAACTCCTCCAGAACCCCCCTTCTGAAAAGGTAGATTTATTTAAAAAAAGGAAGAAAATTGGCTTCGCTATGAGACAGATCCAGAACGACAGCATCACATGTTGGCTGTAAACACACTCAGACAGGCACGCTGATCACAAAGATACAACTCATCCGATAAAATCTGCCGTTCCGTTGGACTGAATCCAGAACTCAAACAAAAGGAGCAGACCCAGTTTTCCTCTCAGACGTTTCTTTTTCTTTTCTATAACAGGCATGACTAAATAAAATCCACAATAATGCTGTCCTCATGTGAAATGACTAACTGTTTATACCACAGAGGAAAATGACTTTCGTTTGTTTTTACTTGGTTTATCAGCAACAGATTTCCGTCTGGTTCCGATGTACACAGTGAGAGGAAGATAAACAGTGGGTTTGGTGATGGGAGCGATGCTGAAAACTGTTTGATGGAAGTTATTCTGTCCTTTTTTTTTTCTAAACGCATTGGTAAATAGCATCATTTTTAGTGCAGGTGACCACAATAAAGTATGTTTCTTATTATTATTGGAATGTAAGCAGGGTGCATTTAGCAAAAAATATTTTTGGAACACATTAGCACCAGCAACTCTTTGTATTGGTTGTGAAAATTGAAATTTATCTCTTTTGTCATTCATCACCTACATTTAAACTGAAACTCATGTTGCAGTCATCAAATGACACCTGCAACCTCTTTTAGTTTGAAGCTTTTTCTTAATTTCAGAAGAAGGGAAAATAATAACAACAAAAAAAAGGTTTGGTCTGAAATAGTTCCTCTAATTGAATAAATCAAACTAAAAGTAAACAAGAACCGAAACTCATCGAGTGACATTATTTATTTAGTAAAAACTGCAACAATGTGTAACTAAATCTTACTGCTTTTCGTGGAATCAAATATCAGCCAGGTGCTGCAAATTATTCATCCATTCATGCATCTAGTATTTACTCACAGAAAGCTGGAGTCTATCTCCGGCAGTCGTTGGGCAAAAAAGTGAGATACAGCCTCAAAAACTCACCAATCCATCACAAAACCATAGAGACCGACAAGACAGAATCACTCACACCAAGTGACAATTTAGAGTTACCCGTTAACCTAACGTGCATGTTTTTGGTCTGTGGGAGGAAACTGAAGCATCCAGAAAAAAAAACCACATGTGCACACGGAGAGCAAACAAACTCCACACAGAAAAAATAAACCCTCATCAGGAGTTGAACCTACAACCATCTCATTTACCGGATTATTTTAAYCAATCGATTACCAGCATGTTTGACAAGCCAATGTTTTGACAGTTTCTCTGGAGCATACAGTACAGCTTCACACAGTGCCACAAAGAAAACAAAAACAACATCAGTGACCCTAGAGAGAAAACTCTTGCTGTCCATTAATTTGGTGAGGTTTTRAGACGATCTCCATCGTTTTACAGAAAGAAAAGGTGTCACAAGTGGAAAACCTTTAAGACAACTTTACCAGGAGCGGGTGTCCCAGCTGATTCATCCCAAGGTCATGAAGAGAGAAGAGAGTGAGAGAGGTCTCAGTTCGCAAGTTAAAGGGGACGTATCATGCAAAATTGACATTTTTTAAACATTTTGTATGTGTTAAGAGTTGGCTTGGCTCGTGGCTGATTGGTTCTCTGCCTGATTGGCCGCACCTGGGAGTGATGAGCTGATAAGCTTTATAAGGCACCTTGACTGACTGTTCCACGCTGAAGAGAGGCAGAGCGACAATGGAGCTTGGAAGGAATTTTGGGAACAGAAGGGAATGAAGAAGAAATAAGAGATACAGTGGGTAAAATAAGTATTGAACTCGTCATCATTTTTCTCAGTAAATATATTACTAGAGGTGCTAATG